TCCCTACACTGGGCTTAACAGGAAGATGGAATCCTAGAGAACCGAAATTAGCAAACATCACAAAAAGCATCTCTTCTTCACCAGGACTGTACACCCACCAGCTCATGAAGGAAAATTTGGATCTGGGCAGAACACCACTGGGGAGCATGGCAGGAGATTGAATTTTCAAGCCCAAACTCCATCTGCCTGGCAGATGGAGCATAAGCAGTTAGTGTCTATGTGTTGCCCACCTTTGTTTTTCTGGTCCCAGACTCACAGAGCCATTCTCTCTGCCCTACAAACACTGAGCTAGGTAATGTTCCTTCTCCCTCAGTCAAGCCTCCAGGAAGCACGTACCTAATGCTAAGCTTTTTTATACCAGTACAAATAAGAAGGGTCAAATCTGAAAAATATTTGAAAGACTCAGTTTGCTCTTGCTTTATCAGAAGATGGAACATGTAGGAGTAAACACAGAGTTACTTGATTTTGGCCAGTGCTGCTGCTCTCCTTTCTGTGTTCTGGAACAAGGCTCGGATCAGACTCTTCACTTCAGCTGCGGAGAATTCAGCTGCAAGAGGCCCCTTCCCATCCGCCCACCTACGTGGGAGAGAAAGATCTTTATTTAACCAAACTGCGCAGAAATGTCATATTAAAACAAGCTTGCCGAGCACTCGTTACAGTAGTAAGTCTGAAGGCAAAACAAATCCAGTTAGCAGCCTATTAGCTGTATGCAAGTTGAGTCCAGCATTGTTTAGCTAGGCATATGAAGCAACAGGTTGTGAGGTGGATTTTGCAATCATTACAAACTACCTTTTCCTTCTCCAAAATAAGGCTAAAGCCTGTCTGCAAAATTCCCATTTACCTCCCAAACAACAGGGCGGGAGAAGTGGGTTTATGCCCAGGTGGAAGTAGAGTTGGGAACCTTTGGCATCTAACACGGTTCCAACAGCAGCAATGAGCAGGGCGCAGAACAGGAACTGCCTTCCCTATGTGCCTTCTCTGTGGCTGGCACCTTTTCAGTTTAGCCTGCTGAGGACAGTATGTTTTCTTGCCATTCAGAGATACGTGTGAGGCAGCGGTGAGCAGGGAATGTGTAGCTTCTGACAACTCATGCCAACTGAAGTAATAGAAGTAATTGTGCAAATCCTCATGTATAATTCAGATGAATCCCGCTCGCAAGTTAAAAGAAGCAAGATACAGCATCTAAAAAGCGGAGGCCCATCATGTGGAATGATTGCAGCAGCAAGGCACGGCTAACATCAACAGCAGTAGGCAAAATGCCAGGCTGCTTACCATGAAATACTTCTGAACTTAGAGAAGCCAAGGGGGAAGCACCATCACTCTGTGGTTGGCTCTTCCATGGCACTTGTTTTTTTACCATTGCCTTTTCCTCTGCAGGAGGCAGCTCAATACATGAGCAAGCTTGAAATGGAGTATTAACACACAGCCAAGAAACAGCCCCAGGAGCAGTTATCTGATCTTGATTAACGGTGATTGCCTTTCATCTGCAAGGAGTCCCCCGAGTGCAGTGCCTGCTGATGTCAGACCACTTCCCAGCTCCCTGTTATTGGGGTGAAGAACTAACTGAAAAGGAAGAAAGGAAGACACCTACTGATCTACTATTTCTTGGAGGTTGGCTTGCAAGATGATCATCAGCTCTTTGAATGTCATCCATTTCTGCACGTAGACTGGAACTTCCTCTTGATATTTCTTATTTTTGTCATCTTCAGGTAGCGGGGTGAAAACTTGGGGTCCTTCCTCCACCATGGTCCTACAGAGGGAGTACAACCTATCTGCATCTTCTGCAGAGATATCCTAGAATTGAACAAATGTTAACAGGGGAGCAGTTAGAAATATTTTTGGAGTACCAAGCAGTAAGTGAAATGGAAAAAAAGGCGGCTCTGTATGTGAAGATGAAAGCAGTGGTTTAGATCACGTTTAACATTCTCAAGCCGATATAATTTATTTCATGAATAGCTATTTCAGCAAGTTCTCAGCGATTGCCTCAGAACAATGGTTGTGCTTCTAAATAGCATATGTTAGTGCAATAGCAAGCATTTCACTCTGAAGCAGAGGTGTTACGATGAAGGTCTGAACAGTTTAACAAGGAAATTGCTCAGGCATTGCCAGCCCAGTGATGGAAGCCAAGCTTTTTGACAGGCACAGCCTGAGCAAGTGTCCTGTAAACTAGCTGTTAGGGGAAAAGAGGACTTAATGGCCTAATGCACAGTGGGAAGGCTCTTTGGATGTAGACTACAACGAGAACAGATGCACTAACATATTCCTATCACTTGCTGTGAAAAATATTTTAATTAAGAAATGTAATGGGATAGTTATACTGGACCCAAGGTAACCTGACAATCACTTAAACACAATATGGGGAGTCAGACGGAGATTTAAACAGGTAAGAATTTCAGTTTGAAATGCCACAGGTATTTCGGCATCTGGTGCCTAAACAGGATGGAGGGGTTCACTAGAGATGCACAGATTGAAAATGTATTAGAATAGATGGAGTTTGAGATAGCAGTTAACTCCTGTACCTTGAACAAAGAAAAAAGAGATCAATTCATAGAAATGTTTATAGTAGGAGTGACACACCTACATCCAAATTAAGATGAAATCACAGCCACTTCCCTGACTCTCCCCTTGACTACAGAGTAATGGAATCACTGTAAGAGTATATATGGTCTCCACTGGATGTGAGTTATTGGTATCCTAAATGTTTCTCATAGATAGGACCACAATTATAGTCTCTGTGAAAGGTAACTGGTCCCCTGAAACCTGATCTTGGGAAGAATTTCTAGAGGTCACATGCTAGCTGTTCACACCACCACATGCTATGCCTGGCATGTCCATCTCGCGCAGTTACCTCTAGGGCAGCAATCCTAGTGACAATCTCTGTGAGAGCCGTGTTCAGCAAAGTCCCCATAGCCTTGCAGTACACGTTCACTGGAAGGACATCTTGCCAGACTTTTCCCAGTCTTTTCAACTGATGCAATACCTGGAAGATAACAGCTGTGTGTTATCTACATGTTATCAAAAAGGACATTAAGAGACGCATAGGATAAGAGGACTACATATGGCCAGGAATTGGTTTGAAAGAAGCAAAAGGCAATGAAGTACCCTGCTATCGCATAGAGCAGGCATTCATGGGAAACAATGCAACATTTTCAGTTTGCATTAAGGCTCACTGAAAGTGTGACAGATCTTCTCCTTGAAAAATGAAAAACATTATAAATGTACTATAAACAAAAGTTCAAGATTAAGAAGCTTTTCATTTCAACTTGAAGCAAGAGGAACTGAACTCAGCATGCTTCAATTTTACAAAAAGACAACAGTGTGGGGGGAAAAAGTCATGCCAGAAAATTGTTGTTTTGAGAAGTCCCACCCTGCTGAAACACTGCACAATTTTCAGGACTGAGATGTTGTCCTTACGAAGGTACAGTATGTAATCTACAGACAATGGGATATTTGGCTTGGATTGCCTTGCTTACCTGCCTTACTGCTTTGTTTGCTGCACGGTAATTTTCCTCATCATCCATATTAGAAAAATTCCTGGCACTTGACAGCCTCTCCAGGATCTCTCCTTTCTGCACTCGCATCTGGGCCAGAAAACACTCCATCCCTTTAGGAGCAAAAACAAGCAGAGAGAAGCAATTACTAAATTTGCTCTGCCAATTTAGAGACTGTAAGTACTGAATAATAACTTGCTATAATGTTTTATTTTTAAAGGAATTTCCAGGCTCTAAACAGTCTCATAGAGCAAATTTAATCAGGCCCAGTCACATATTTGGTAAGCTCTGGGGCAGCTTGCATTGCTACACCACTTTTGAAAAGGAGCTGAGTAGCAGAATTAACTATGGATGACAGGCTCCTATTAGGCTTATACAAACTTATCTCAGAATTTGTTTTCATAGAATGAGCTAAAGAAAGTATCAAAGGACCGAGCAGCAGATCCCAAAATATCTGACTGCCACAACATCTTGTTGGATAATGGACTGTTTTTGAACTGTGTGCTGGACAAGAAGAGTTGGGTTTCAGAGAGTCAAGCCCTAAACAGCCATCTTGCTTAGAGTTGTAACGCTCTGTCAGACTGTGCAATCTAAAAATGTCCTTGCTACTTGTCCAACTCTTAAATAACAATCTGCTGCTCGAGTCAGTAGCCCCACTTACATTAAATCTTTCAGCAACAAATGCCAGGATTAATTACTATGTCATCCATCCATATATTTCAATACTGAAAGGTAAAATTACCAAGTCTCCTAAAACCAGGTACCAGATCTACAAAAGTAGCTGCTCCGTCACACAGGATGTTAGTCAGGCGGTATCGGAACTGGTGTCCCAGAGTGAGCAAGTGGTGAGCAATATACATGCAGTTGTTGTGGTGAATGGCTGCCAGCTGGGGTAATTTCTGAAGGTTCTCCCTGTCCCAAGAAGAGAAAAGGAAGAAATGTATTTATTTAGACCTGGCTATGTTAAAAGAATTGTCATGCCTACCCTAGAGAAACTCACAGTCTGTCTCAGACAGATGTTGCAAATAACTGCTAACTGTGGGCAATGCCTGATAAAGACATCAGTTGGAATAAAAGCATTTAACCTCCCATCACATCCACACAAGAACTTAAAGGAGTTCCGTGGCTAGTGAAATGGCACTTCAGTGTTTGAACCACGTATTATATCCACATTGTTTCTAGCAATGGACTTTCAAAAGCAAGATGCTTTGCTATAGCAAAGTTATGGTGAGGAAAAGAGAGAGAAGTCCTTTTCAGTAATACTCCAGTGTTCTCTGACAGAGTTGTGTATGTTCAATCTTCATTGCCGCTCTCTTTTACAGGAAAAATGTCATGAAAAATCCCTGCATCAGACCTGGGGTCAAGGTTACGTGGCTGGATTCAAACACAACCGTTACAAGAACTGCAACTATCTCCTTGGTCATAAGACTGCCAACTCAGAAACTCTCAAGCTCCTATTCTGCAGCAGGTATGATTTAATAATAGATTAAGAGTACTAACTTTTTGCCACTGGAGGAAGCCCTTAGTAATCTCTGGCTGTGGTGAACAAACTGGGGACAAGCGGGGCTGTTCCGATAGCACTGTTCCCTCTCCAAAACAGGCGCTAGGTAATACACACACACACACACACACACTTACCTGTGGTATGTTGGCACTACATCATAGAACAGCTGGAATATATTCCGTACAGAGTAGAAGAGCTGTATACAGCTACAAGAAAAATAAGGTTCATGTTAGTTTGTCAGCAGAATTAATGTCTTGTTCACAAGTGACCCTCAATCTTCTCCAAAACAAGGTTTTATTAGTACTGAAGCACTGGCAGTGAAGTACTGGCACAAAGAGTAGATTGTCAGGATCAGCTACAGCGATGTCAACAAAGTTCAACATTCTGGAAAATTCACACAGGCTGTGATGACCTTGTAAATTCAGTGTGGAAAAGACAAGCTTCAGACCACATGTCAGACGGGAGATATATGAAACCCTAGGAACAAAGGGGACAGTGTCCCTTCCCCACCAGGTGTGCATAAACAGCCCTCTCTGCCACAGTACACTGAAAGGCATTCGGTACCTAGGCAACTCTCCTTCAGGGCTGTGGTCTCCAATTTTAAAAGCAGACTGTACGTGGTTCCTCTAAATGTTTAATTGTTTTCTCTGAAGAGCCCTGCCACATGCAGAGCTGGACTTCTTTGCTTTCACCCAGCACAAAGAAAGCAAGAACTCATCTCAGAATAGGTGCCATCACTTATCACTTGGTTTGAAAAAGAGAGATGGTTTTGATTTTTCTGAACAACGGACAGCTAACATACAATAAAACACCAAAGCGAGCACTGCAGTAGCGTTTCTCCCAACTAAAAGACCGAAGCCATGAACTACGCTGTGCATGCTAGGGAGTTTACCGTGTTTTCACTGCTTTAATAGCTAAAATACAATAAAGTGCACCTGAACATTCCCTGAAAGCATAAGTCTGAAAGGCTGCTTAACCTGAGTACTGCAGGGAACACAGTCCGCAGCTGTTCCTGCTGTACCAGTCTACTGCACAAACCCAGGGATGCATCCTCCAGCCAAAACAGAGAGTAGCTTTAATGATTGATTCTTATTTTTAAGTCTCTGCTGTTCTTTCAAAGTTCTTCTCATCTATTAACACATGCTTGGTGTTGCCAAAGGCAACAGGTATCTGACACCCGAGGCTTACCCGCCGATCTATAATTCCTACCATTGATCTGTGCTGGCTGTAGCCTCCAACAGCGTCTGATAAGCCAGCTCCATCAGTTTCTCCACTGATGAACTGATGCGGCATGTGGGCAGAGAAAACGTGTACTGGCTCAGTTTAGTCTCATTCTCCAAATTCACCATGTCGTTATGCAGAAGTTTAGATGGTTTTTGTGTTTTTAAGTGATCTCCTGCCCCAGGATCAGGAAGCCTTGGTAGGGCTACACAGGAATCGGGTGTGATCTAAGGGAGAACAAGAGAGAGGTATAATATAATTTAGAGCCCACAGAAAAGAGACTGCACAAGACTACAAACCATTGAATGACAGAGATTTAAGACTCAAGATAAACGCAAGGCTGCAGAAGTCCCCTAAGACTGCTGGAAGTCTCCTGGCTTATGAACACAGCAGACCACGAAACTGTCTCCATTGTGTTGCATGCCTAGAAGCAACTTTGTAAGTAATTCTCTAATTTTTCTTATGCTTATGACACTAACCAGAAAAGCCTATGCAAGCAAACTTCAAGTATTTTAAGAAACGCCTTGTTAGTGAACTAACTCTCTTGAGCACTATTAAAAAAGGTTTTGAAACTGTTCTTTGCCAAGATTCCCAAATAATCAAGAGTATTCAGTGCTCCACAAAAAAAAAAAAAAGAAAAAAAAAAAAGACTTGACTGTTCTAGACAAGCCTTCTTCAACAGCTAAGCTATTCTTCCACATTCAAAGACAGTGTATTGCATCAATAGTCACCTTTACAGTATTGTGTATTTCTGAGGTCATCAGGTTTCTGGCTGCCACAATCACATCCTGGCACTTCTTGTTAGCAAAGTGGGAATTGACATTACGGGCGTATTTCAGTAAATCAGTCGTGTCTCCTTTCAAAAACTGCATGTTCTTCAAGGCTTTTTCAAATTCCTCTGTCGATTTAATCACCTGAGAAGAGCAGACACATATTCTACATTAAAGTTGGGTATAAACTCTTCCACTCAGCTGAAAGCAAAGGATGAAACTGGGTTTTAGAGGGCATTAACCATCCAACAGCTTTTCAGCAATCTTTTGGGAAAAGCTGGCTCAGCTGGGGGCCACGATCACACAATAATACAGTGTTTGAACTGCAGGTTTGTCCCCCCTGACTGTGCTGGCAACCTAATTCAAAAACCAGAGGAGCAAGATAATCAAATTTCATTACACTGGACTACCTGAGGCAACAGGACTGGGAGGTTTATCCTAAACTAGAAGACTGCTTCTGTTTGAAACAGCCCCCCCCCCTTCAGGAAAAGGAGCTTTTGGCCTTCTTCAGTAGCGGTAAGTTCTGTTTTATGTCTGTGGTTTTAAAAAAAAATATTATGCGGCCTATGCAAGAAAGCCCTGTGATCATTAAAAACAAACACGAACAGAGCATTCAGTCCTCAGGAAGCCAGCTGGGCAACCAGCACTGCCACATCACCATCTCCAGCCTCTCACAGAGGCTTGGAGAAGGGCCTTAATCGCACACCCTGAAAGTCTCCAGGTCTTAGCTAAATATGGCCGAGTTCCACAGATCAGAGCCCTTGCACACTTTACGTGACAGGAATCACAAGCCACAGCTTAACTGAGAGAAATACACAATTCTAGATTTGCAGAACACAGCTTTTTGTTCAAGCTGGCCATCTGGCATTTCCACCACATAGATCTGAAAGACTTTTGAGACCTACCTCTATATACTGCTCTAGTTTGCTGCTATTGGTTGGGATTGAATTCACCAGACAGTTCTGAATGAGGCAGTCCGATAACTCTTCCCATATCATATCACCTAGCAGTTCTGCAAGTGTGACTCTGCACTCCTTTTTATCTTCCGCAGGCTGCTCAAGAGGCACATCTGAATTCAAGGGAACAGAAATGAATTTTAATACACCTGCTTCCCGGACCAGATGCTTCACCAGTCCATTCAGTCCTTCCTGTCAGAACAGCATCTATCAACTGTTCCATGATCTTATAATGGAGGTACTCTTCTTATCCAGGCCATGTGCTGGGACTGTAGAACCGCCCACCAGACCAAAAGACAACTGAATTTATGTGTAAACTGAGCCTGCTTTCCCAGCATGTTTATTTCATGAAATGCTATCAAAGCCCGGGCCAGTTTCTAGCCGATGGAAGATCCTGCATGTGACCAGCCTGACTGAGAGAGCTCCCTGGATTGCATCATGACTTCCACCTTTTAGACCTGTGGCATGCAAAGATCTTCAATGCAGTGACTGGTTCATAAGAAAAAAACATTTTACCAAAAAATTAATTCCTTGATCCCGTTGAACCAAAATGCTTCCCTCCTTCATTTTCCCAGCTCTGTGAATGCTGGGTCACTTCTAAGTCCAGTTTGACAAGGTGCCAAGCTGTCCAAGAGCACAGCATAGCAAGTTAACATCAAGAGCTGCTTAGACCATATTTCAATACTGCTTAACAACCAGATAGTCTAGAAAGCTTCCGCTCCAATTACATGAACAAGGTACTGATCTCAGTCTAATTCCAAAAGGGAGAAACTACCTACTCAGCAGATACTTGTAGAGAACTTCAAAAATAAGCTTGATCTTGTCAAAAACCTCCATAGGAGAGGAGTGATCCAAGTTAGGCTCCTCGGACTTAAAACGTAGGATGAACACATCTGACTGTTCCTCTGTGAATGGCTGAAGAGACGGGTATGAAATCAGCGGCTTGAGGATGTATTTCAGCAACAACTGGCCTGAGAAACAAAAAAAAAAAAAAAAGTGGTCTAGCAGAAGGTGTCCCTGCCCATGGCAGGGGGGGTTGGAACTAGATGATCTTTAAGATCCCTTCCAACCTGAACCATTCTATGATTGATTCTATGTTTTCCAACAGCAGGAGGCAGGCAATTTGCTCCAGTGAGGCCCAATCGTGAGTATTTTGGACGTAGAGATTCTTTGCATGAAGTGGAATAAACACTCTCTTGATTAGCTGTATCAGGGAACAGCTAATGAGGTAGAACGCTGGGTTTGGTTTCACTAAAGACCACTTTACTCATGTAAAACACATACAGAGGCCTAAAAAGAGCAGCATATTTAATGTAAAATGAAAAACCAACTTAGCTAGAAACGTGAAATCCTGTCCTACTATCTGCCATACTTCCTGATTCATTTTATCAACACCTGAGAATGCTGAAGGCCCAGAGGCTTCCTGAAACCAACAGCCTTGCTCTTGGTAGATAAGGTGGAGGTAACTGGAAAAACTCTTTAAACATCAGACCACAAAACCACATAGCCACAGATCAAAACAGTATACTAGAGTAAATTGACAGGAAAGGATAAATCATTCTGGATAAATAAAGGATAAATAATTTCCTGTTAATAAAAACGAGAGCATTCACCTCACACTCAGTGCAAAACGCAGGCCAAGAGAGAAAGAAGTCTTCCAGTGGACTGCTGAAGTGAACTGGATCTCAATATCCATCTTAAAACAAGTCAGAACTCATATCCACTCAGGCTACTACAGCTACACTTATCTGGATCCACGGTCTGTCTTACCAAAAATTTTAAGCTTGGTGTGCAGTTCTCCTAGGACAGCAAACGCCTGCAGCACAGAAGCAACAGGTGGGCCAGCAATGTCCTCCTCTTTTGACGGTACTGTGCGTAAGTGCAGTTCTGAATGCATCACCGACTCCAGGCTGCTGCTTTCTAAACAAAAAGAAGAACCATCTCCGTCAAGAGTGTGGTCCAAGATACAGCAGATCTGAGAAGCTACTGCATTCCTCAGGGGGCAGCTAAAGCAATATTCTACCTCTCCCCATTTCCACAAAACACAATTCCTGTAAAAGAGCATCAGAAGAGGGCACCGAGTTCCTTGTGTTACAGCGCAGAACAACAGAATGAGAATCAGTCTCTTACAACGATCCAGAATTTTCATTTCAGCCTCCTTGCAACTGAATGACAATGTAGTGACAATCCCCTCTTCTCCCCATTTCAAGTCAAATCCAAAGGAAGAAGGTTTTTGCTTTTCCAAAGGAAAAGTTTGTGTTTCAATGAAGACAGCAACGTACAGACTCCTGAGCAGTTCTTGCAATTAGCTGCCTGCAACAAAAGTGGCAACCTGAAAACCTGTCAGAGAAGGTAAGGTATCCTTAAAACTAGCCTAGTGGGGAAGCATGTTCAGGCTGAACAAAAATTTCAGAAATAGTAGCTTCCAGCTACTACACCGAGCAGGTATTTGATAATAAGCAATCTGAAATCTTGGCCCAGCTGATTTCCTCAGGAGCAGAATCGTTGCAAGAGAGCATCCCTTTTCTGATATTTCACAAGACTAGAAAAAGTACTCAGAGGCTGGTAACTGTTTTGATCTCTGCCTCAATGTTTTCTAAGAAATACCACAGATGAGGCAGATGAGCTTTCAAAACTCTGTTTAAAATCTACTGACTACACCGGATTGCTTCTGGAGTATTTAGGTGCTACCATGAGTGGAATGACATCCAAAGAACACTGCCACTCATCGCTCCCATTTGTTAGGTTATGCAAACAGCAGAAAGAGCTCCTTAAACCAACCTCAGTCCAACAGTATTACTGTATTTCCTCTCTTGTAGGTGCTTGAAACCAGGCATTTCAACTAGTGAAACAAACTAGAATTGTGAGTACCTTTCGAAGGAGGAAGCTTCCATACAGCCAATTTCTGCCATTCTTCTCCTAGATGATAGAGCATGTTCTGTGTCTGCACTGTGAGCTCTGTGCCTAGCGCTTTCAGGATCTTCAGCTCAAAGCCCTTGCGGGATTCCAGCATTTTCAGGCTGCTTCGTGCCTGGTGGTAAAAATCAAATACAAAACATGGGTAACTGTTGCCCATGCCAAGGAAATGCGTCTTGTGAAATTTACTGGAAGTATATATGAACAATATTGTCATAGGCTTAAGAAGTCATTATTACCTTTTCCAGCTGTTGAGCTGCTGCAACATACTTCTTTTCCAGCAATGCAGTATTGTACTCTTTAATAGCTGTATCAAACTGCAACAATCAAATAGATTCAGATGTCACTGTTTATCTGCTATTAGACTACAATATTTTAAATAACACGGCTAGAGACAGGGGAGCCACAGACAGTTATTCAAAAGAGAAGCCCAGAATAATGCCACAGCCTGAGCACCAGAGAGGATGACTACTGCTTCATGATTTTAAGCCGCTCCCTCTCCTCACCTCCTGGAGCTTTTTCAGAATACTCAGAACCAGCGTGTCTCGCTCCAGCTGCTGCTTCAATTCAGTAAATTCAGCAACAGCAACATTTAGATCTCGCTGAACCTAAAATAACAAAGTTCTCAGTTCATTTACAGCAAGCAAATGTTATCAGACACATTTCCTCTTAAAAGTGATAATGATTTGACACTTAAAGTATTTCTGTTACTAGAATAATTTGTTGAGGAGGAAAGGGGCTCTATCCACTCCTTGCTAGGAAGATCCTTAGGAGCACTGGAAACGCTTATAAACTGGTTTCTCTTTTAATATGTTAAGGTTTTTTAAAGGCACTGTACAGAAATTCATTCTCAAAAGGCAGTCAAAAGGACTTCAGTGTTCCTTTAACACAGCCATTTAAAATGCAACAATGCATGAACTAAGCCAAAAGTCAATTCTCAATTAACACTGCTACAGAACCCCAGATGTTGGAAAATCGATCAAAGAAGCAAAAAACAGGGAGTGGGTCTGCAATGCAGCCTGCAGGAGCTGCTCACATTCTCCTTAAAGGATTCAGTGAATGTGCACAGCTATGATCTGGGTTCCTGTTCTGCCCGAAAAAGCCGTGGGACCAACACTCTGCCAGACCATTACTGCGTCGCACCTTACCGCAATCTACAAGACTGATCCTTCTCTCCTGTCTAAAAGAGAGACGTGCGACACTTTTCCAACTGTACAGCAGAGAGCAAACCGTGACCAAACCTTTAATGACAGTTCTTAACTCACCCCTCCGATGTGGCACACCTCTGCTGCGTGTGTCACCTCGAGGCATTTTTTAGAGGCGATATCATCTGGGGTTCTTAGCAGTCCTCCTCCCCCAGTCCCCTCGCAACACCCCGTGATGCTGGGGCACAGGTTGGGGTGAAAGCGAAGGGACCCCGCGCCAGCCCCCCAGGAAGCCCGGGCCGTCACCTCGTTCTCAATGCCCGCTCTCAGCAGGTCGATGTTGCTGGACAGCCCATCCACCTGCGCCACCAGCTCCTCGGCGCTCTGCATGCTGGGCAGGAACTCGTTATACTTCTTGTTAATCATGGTGCAGACCTCTCCCTAGGGAAGAGGGATGGTTGGGACACCGGCGCTCTCAGGCGGGCCCTCGCGAGCGCTCCAGGG